TTATAAATATACGAATGTTGAACTGGTGTTCTCTTGCGAAACTGTTTTATGACTTTTATTATATTGGGTGTTATAACTGAAACTGTTAAATTGTACATGTTCTGATGTGATGAATTTATTGAATGAGTTTGTTGGCTGAAATTGATCTTGTTAGAAGGTCTGGAGTAAGGGTTCTGTAATAGCTTATATATGAGTATTAAATAGATATACAGATACTGTTTGAGGTTGTTGTGAGAGGAAGTAAAAATATTAAAATTAGGCATTTTAGATTTAGAGCATAAGACAACAAGGTAGATAAATTAAATAAATAAATTGATTAATTATTGAGGGCCTCCCTTTGTTGGTAGGATAGAGGAACCTTAAAAACCTGAGTTGGCACATCCCTGATCATAGAGCAGCCCTGGTCTGGTCCAGTCAGTTGTGACTAGTCATATGTGCTGGCGTCGAAGGTGAGTTTGATGCGTTCAGACATCTGGGTCCTCTCCGGTGACCAATTGGGGTAAAGAAAAATCTCTACTAGGATGAAAATAAAATAAAACAAGTTGATTGTAGATGCATAATATTATCATGGTAAAAATTTCATATATATTTTATTTATCATTACATTGAGCCCAGACTTTAATATGTAGTTCCTACGATATGTTGATATATTTTGGTTGATCCATGATCTTTGTTTGGTGAAAATATGTTGAGTTATACTCGTTATGGGCAAAATGAGTTTATAATATGAAGCATGATATATGGCAATATGTTTAATTTATTGATACCAAAACGGGTTATTATGAATTCATGATTAAAGAATGAACATGATTGAGTTAGGTGGATAAGAGGGTATGAATTGTTGGTTTTATGAAATGTTGGAGTGGATATGAGAAATCATTACTTATGAAATGATGTTTACTACCGGGAGTAGTATGTTCGAGTTATACCATGAGAGTTTGGTATGAGCAAAGTAACACCTGAGGTTTATGAAAGCAGGCAGAAAGTGGTCTGACCATAAGGCTTTGACATAAACATATGATTCGTAAGTTTTATAGAAGCAGGCAGAGAGGGGTCTGACCATAAGGCTTCAGAAAGTAAGACATAGTATATAAGTGAAGCTTAAGGAAGCAGGCAGAGAGCGGTCTAACCATAAGGCTTCATGAGTAAGCATGGTACACTTGTAAGATTTATGGAAATGAGAAAGATGATTTTGATAATGATGAATTAAGGACATCGGAATAATGATATTTTATCAATTGCAGAAATACATGATTATAATATTTTTATTACAAGTTTAATGATTTTATGATATGGTTAGCTTACCCTTATTTATTTGTACTATGATCATATAACTCATGTTATATGTGATTAGATAATGTTGCAGATGCGGTTGAAAAAGCTTAGAGATGAGAGAGATGCGGGGAAAAACTTTCAGGGATTTTTGTAAAAAGAATAAATTTGTATTGGGAAGATTATGTTGTGTAAAACTTATAAGTTGAAATTTCAGTGGTGAAGACTATATTGTTTAAAGTTTGTAAGTTTGGTATTGTACTTTGGAGTAATTGAAATAAAGTTTGATTGTTTATATGAGATATCAAATTAATTTAGTCTCTACTATCAGTAATACCCTTTAAAATATTTGGGTGTTACAAAAAGCACCACAAACAGCCACATCATCACGCCACGAATCAAAACCAAAATGAAGAAGAAATGGAAACGGATATGAAGGAGAGAAAGTGAGAGTTGGGAGATGGAAAGAAACGAAGTCATAGTTGAGGGTGAGAACAAACGGGTTTGGAAAAATGAGAGGGGGGTGGGACTGTGAAAATGAATAAGAGATTTAGAATTTCAAAAAAAGGTAAATAAATATGATTAAAGTAAAAATGGATACTTTTATAATTAAAAAAATTTTGGGGAAATTTGAGGAGGTGTAGGGAGCATTGATGGTAGTGGAGGTAGTAACACCCTAATTAGAGATCAATAATAAAAGGATACGTGATTGCATTTATTGTGAATTTAAGACTTTCAATCGGATTGATTACTGACTTAAGCATTAAAGTACTTTTGACAAGCACTCTCGAATAATTTGGAACATAAAAGAGGAAGAATTTAATTAAGGACCATTTAGAATTACCTAAACATGCTCGGAATAAAATGTGGAGATGTGATTAATAAAGATACTCTACCCTGTACTTGAAATATTGACTAATAAAGATAACAAGTAAATTAGACCACAGGTTAGTATTTACAACTAGCTAATATGATAAGCCACAAACGAGACAAGACAAAGTTAGCCATTGATCAATTTTTTTTAAATTAAACATTAAAATAAAAATAAATTAAATGATATTTTTGTCTTATATTATTTGATGATACAAATATATAATATAATATTAATTTCAATTATTAATTGTAATAAATTAATTTAATATACAAATATAATAGTTATTTTAATTTTTTAATTAAATGTATTAATTAATTAATTATATTTTTTTAATATATATATATATATATATTAAAATAACTAATTAGTACCATTGGTGCCTAATAACCAGCAACTCATTTTGTCGGCCGTATTTAGCGGTGAACTCCTGGTTGACTTTTTTTTCTTTTTTCCTTTTTATGAGCGGGACACTTACACATAATCATATTGCGCTATTTCTTGTGCTTAAAATGCTATCAAAAGATAACTTAGGTATTAGACCGTGGTCTTTTCATATAATTACTAACAATTATACTATTAATAATAATTTATTTATAAAATATTAAAATATGTTGGATACATTTAAATAAAGATAATTACGTTCTATTAATAATTATATAATTTAGAAAGTAAGACAAGCATCATGAAAGTTAATTATGTTAAAAATAAATAAAATATGAAATTTGGGTAATATCTCAAAAAATGTTAAAGATAATCTAATAACAGGTAATGATGACTTAACAACAATCCCTATATATTATCTAATGATAAAATGGAAGAGGAAAATATTAAGCGGATTGACTAACCTTTGCACACAAATTACGAGCCTGATCCCAGTCTATATCCTCATACGGAATCGTATAAAGTTCTTTTCTCAAAGACAAAACTATCGGTGTGATCGAACCAACAAATCTCTTGCCATATAAGTACGACATTGGCAAATACACCATCCGGCAGTGATTCCACATTCTTCCTGACAGATTTATAACAAATTACGATTTCTTAGTTTAGTATTTGAAATAAAAAATTTATTTAACCGTTGCTTGGGTTAAACATAGACATATAATTATGATACATATGTTGAAATTTTTTAATTGGAATAAACTAAAAATTGACCACTTGTATAAGTTATTCATATAAGAGACTTGATATAATATTTAACACAACCTCCTAATTTATTTCAGTGAAACAATTCTAACAATAATATTAGAATATATAATTTGTTTTGGTGTCCGATTCACACAGACAGAAAAATATATCTCGGTCTGGTGAACATCCAACCGCAGTTAGAATAAGTAAAAATACATTAAGATAAATGGGTGGAACACGTATATTTTGTTATAGTAGAAACTAATACTTAACTCACACTTCTTAAAAAAACGGTTAAGAATCAAAGTATGACTTCAAACTATCATTTTAAGTAGAAATAAAAAAAAAAACTATGTATATAAAAAAAATAGACTTACAAATATTAAATCTTAATATTTTATGTAAAAAATGATATGAAGTATTTTTATATGGACAACTCGATCTTCACAAATGATAAATTTCTTCTTAAAAGAAATTCCAAAAACACGATTGAAGTTTATCTAATCCAGTTTATCTTGTGATAGTTCTTCTAATTGTCATATCGTATCTAACTTTCTCTTGTAACTCAACAAGATATATAAGAAAAAAAAACATATATAATTAGTTTATAAAGCAAGATCTAACCTGGATGAAACGGGAGCATGTACGGAAGGAGCCATATTTCAGGGGGCAAAGGATTATTTCCTGAACATTCATAAACTCCAAGAACCTATATAATTCACAACAAAGTCAGAAAATAAACACACGTATATATAACAAAATTATTAAATTAAGGATAGTATATGAACCGAAAGCCACATCTTCCCCCACGATGTTATGAACGTGGCCCCACCATGCCTTAGAATCCAGTCACGGGCCTTCTCCATTTCCGCTTGTCCACCACTGGCTCCCTCACCAAGCAATCTCAGAGCAACATAAGTCAAAACAGAGCCAAACATTGTGCTTGAACCTTCAATATGTAGACCCCACCCACCATCCTCGTTCTGCAGTTCCATTTTTAACCAAATAGGACTTTGGAGAAGCGCGTAAATTTCAGGGAAGAAGGATGTGAAGCTCTTACTTGATGATTATACATAAAACGCCGAATTTCCTTTGTATGTTCTTCTGTGAAGACTAAATTCAACGCCCCACTGATATACAAAGCAATCACCTATTAAGTAAATACCACAGTTAGGTATGCAAGGCCGGAAAACTGACGATTCCGAAAACTAAAATTTAGGAATTTTAAGAATACACATTTGTATATATGCAAAAAGAAATGGTTTAATCCTTTTCGACATCCCTATTTATATACGAATGTCTCAATTGGGTCCTCGTTTTTTAAAGTGTATCAAAATGGTCCCTAATTTTGAAAATTGATATCAATTGAGTCTTTTCCGTTAAGTTGGCTGGACGGCGTTAAAAAAATTGATGAGTGGATGCTGAGATGACGAAGGAACGCTCGTCCACCAGCGAACGAACGCTCGTCCATCGAACGAACGCTCGTCCATCAGCGAACGAACGATCGTCGACCACCGAACGAACGGTCGTCCAGTGTGGAACGAACGGTCGTCCAGCAGTAAGAGGTCGACGAGCGTTCGTTCTCTGGTGGACGAGCGTTCGTTCGCTGGTGGACGAGCGTTCGTTCGTCATCTCAGCATCCACTCATCAATTTTTTTAACGCCGTCCAGCCAACTTAACGGAAAGGACTCAATTGATATCAATTTTCAAAATTAGGGACCATTTTGATACATTTTAAAAAACGAGAATCCAATTGAGACATTCGTACATAAATAGGGATGTCGAAAAGAATTAAACCAAAAGAAATTGCATAAAAGATTTATAAGAAAAAAAAACAATAAATTCATTCTTTATTTGTTTTTTATAAATTCGAATGTATTTAATTTCTAGAATATTTCATTTTATTTTTTAAATTTTTGTAAAAAAGTTTGTAAATCTTTTCTGAAAACATCTTCAACATAATTTTCTTAATACTAAACCAGATGAAAACATTTAATTATACTTTTCGTGAATCTTTCTGAAGAGAAAATTGAGAAACAAAAATGAAATGAAGTTATTTACGGACTAAAATTAGTTTGTATAAATATTAAAACAACAAAAAGAAAAGTTAATATAAATGAACTAATTTTATGTAATAATTGAAGTAATAAAAAGTTTATTGAAAAATCTGTTCATTCATACCATGAATTTGATACGGCATAAAACTTACCAATGAAGGAATCATGAACATGGGACCACCGTAATCACCTGGCCAGTGTCCATCGTGACTCTGAAGAGTTGAAAGGAAACTCGTTGCCCTTCTTAACGTTCTCGTCACAACCTCTTCGGTTACGTCCTCGATGCCTTTAACCTCTGCTTTGGGCAAGACTTCGTGCATCGGATTCTCTTTCGCAAACTACAGTTTACACCAAGAAAGATGAACTATTATTCAACTAAATCAATTTTCGGGAAATGATTTTACCAGAACGAACTTGTTAATGTATTTCAAAAGTAACTGGATATTTTGGAGTATTGATTCCTCCTCTTCAGATATACAAAACCTGCATACGCAAAAGTAAATCGGCGCTCTGTTTCTGAGTGAAGCGATTATGGTAGAAACTGTGGCGAGCCTCTTCGATTTGGAGAATTTCTTGTGGTGATTGAAGCGTGGGATCGAATTCCCAGACCTGTCTTCCAAGGTGATTGTTGCGTGTCCGTAGCCATTGACTCTCTCCCTCTGCGACCTTCAGCTTCCACATTTTCCCCCAAAAGGAGGGAATCACTATTGCTCTGCCACTACTCAGAGGAAGTGATAACTCAAGTGAAATGATTATTGAGCAATTAATATAAGTTTTTCATTCTACTATTATTTTATTTATAACTTGACTCACTATAATTAATAGTTTACGAATCATCTCACATTTGGAAAACGAATTTGTAAGTATAATTTTTTAAAATAAATTTATAATTTATTATATCATTTAGAGAAAAATAAACAAGATATACACAAGGTCTTTAAAAAGAAAATAGTTCTTAGCCTCGTTATTGGTGAACGCTTTCAACGATAGTGTTAAAGTCTAAATTGCACTAGAATTTAACATTTTTTCACTAATATGTTGTATAGTGGTAATACGTTGTTGTCATTCACGCTACCAAATTATTATTACTTAACAAGACAAACCCAATGTTAAAAGTATATCTTAATGAAATTGATATTGAAGTTTGGTGTAGATATGAATTTAACGAAGGTTTAATCACTACGGTGGTTTCTATTTGTGTAAAATTGTCTCAAATAGGTCCTCGTATTTTATTTGATCTTAATTATGTCTCTTTTTCTGTAAAATTGAGTCAATTTTGATTTTGTCGTTAAATTCAGTGGACGACACTAAATTTTCTGTGTTTGGGTTGACTGCGCAATTTTTAATGACGTGACACAATGTGGTGAAATTTATTTTATTTTAAGTTTTAAATAAAATCCTTATTTCAAACATTATATTAAGTGTCCCGATTGCATCCTATTACCTCTTTCACTCTCTCTCCAGTGCCATGGAATTCAGTAGCCCCAAAGTGTTTTCTCTCCGGTTCTGGAATCATCGCAAGGGAACTATAAATGCAACTACCAAACCTCGTAATGCTTCCTTCTCACGCCTTGTGTGAGTTTTTCTCTCTTCCTCTTCCTTTGCTCTTCTAGTCGCCGAATAACATGAGGTTGACGAGGGCCATTGGCAACCCCGTCTTTATAAGGACCCAAATAAGGAGCATAAAGTTTAGTGTTCCCTAGGAAAGAGGTATAGTTAAAGTAGCCGAACTTCCCAGTTCTAGGAACCAAACCAGAGAGATTGTTATAGGAAAAATCAACAGATGTTAAAATTTGCATAGAAACTATGGAACCTGGAATTGAGCCAAATAAATGGTTTCTTGAAAGAGTTTAGGAAGCCCAAATAGACCTACAGGAATAGAACCATTAAGAAAGTTCTCTCCCATTCGAATCCTATTCAGAGACTCGCACTTCCCAAGCGAATCAGGAATGAGACCGAGCAGATAATTCCCGAGAGTTATCAAAGTCTGAAGGCGATTCCCGTAGCACATATTAGGAGGAAGCATTCTCGTGAACTTGTTCGAAGAAAGATAAACAATATTGAGTTTTCCAAGCGTTGTAGTGGCCAATGTAGAGCTTGTGAAGCGCTGTGAGGTTTCCAAGCTCCGGAGGGGTGTTTCCCGTGAGCTCATTCTCGGAGACGGCGAAGTACTGGAGGTGTTGCCAGGTGCCATATTCAGGAGGGATCTGGCTAGGGAAAAAGTTGCCCCCGAGGTGGAGGTGGCGGAGGAGGAACATGACGGCGACGACGAGGGGGAGGGGACCGGTCATGTTGTTGTTGTAGAGGTAAAGGACTTGGAGATTGGCGAGGTTGGAGGGGAAGGTGGCGTTGAAGGCGTTCTTGGAGAGGTTGAGATGGTGGAGGACGGAAAGTGCGAAGAAGGAGGCGAGGATTGGGTCGGAGAACTGGTTGTCAACGAGGAAGAGGTAAGAGAGGAAAGGGAGGTGGGAGAGGTAATCGTAAAGTGTGGCAGAGAGGGACAAGGAGGTGAGGTTAAGGGTGGATGAGGACTGAGCCAATGTTCTGCCATGCCCAGTAGACCCTCCCATCTATATCCCCTTCCAACATTCACACCCACCCACAATCTTACCCATTTTCGTCTTTCTCTCTTTTTTTTATTTTATTTTATCCGGCCACTGTGAGTTCGACTGGAAGAACGAAGGAGGAGGAACAGAGAAAAACTTTGGGGCCTACTTGATTCCATGGCACCGGAGAGAGAGTGAGAAAGGTAACAAGATTCAAATGGGACGCTTAATATAAGTTGTTTGAAAAAGGGATTGTATTTAAAACTTAAAATAAAATAAATTCCACCACACTGTGCCACATCATTAAAAATTGCGCAATCACCAAGCCTAGACACACAAATTTTAACGTCATCCACTGAATTTAACGGCAAGGTCAAAATTGACTCAATTTTACAGAAAAAGGGACCTAATTGAGATCAAATAACATACAATGCCTATTTGAGACAATTATGTACAAATAGAGACTTCCGAAATGATTAAACCCTTAATGAAATAACAAATAAATTTTTTTGAGATAATTATAATGGAAATAAACTAAGTGCACTGTTTTTTCAAAATAGATTTGTCGGTTAACTATAGATTATTGTTCAATTGATTATTATTTTTATTTTAAATTAATTAAAGTAAATTCTTAATTAATTTGAGGACAATCTTACCATTAACCAAAGTAGATTCTCAAATAAAAGTAAGACCTTTAAAGATTATTCATAATAAATTTAATCAAAGTATATTCTCAATTAAATCTTATTATGTTTAATAACATCTGTTCTCTTATTTTCTACCATTATTTTATTTATAACTTGAGTCACTATAATTAATAGTTTACTAATCATCTCACATTTGGAAAACGAATTTGTAAGTATAACTTTTCAAAATAAATTTATAATTTATTATATCATTTAGAGAAAAATAAACAAGATATACAAAAGGTCTTTGAAAAGAAAATAGTTCTCAGCCTTATTATTGGTGAACGCTTTCAACGATAGTGTTAAAGTCTAAATTGCACTAGAATTAAACATTTTTTTCACTATGTAATATAGTGGTAACACGCACCTGATGCTACCACATCTTTTACTAATTATTATTAAAGTTTCTATTACTAATAAAAATACATTCTTAACCGTAAAAACTCATTCAATCATATGAAAGTTTCTAAATTTAATTGAAGTACATTCTTAATCAAAATTATAAACTTTTAAACTCATATGATTAATATGTATCTAGACTAAAACAAAAAAGATAACCCAAATCAATAATCAAAAGAGACAAAGACATTATTTTAACTTAACCTCAAAATTCATAATAAAATTACAGTAAAATAGCTCTAGAAGTAGGAGAAATGTGGAATACATGATGAAAATAAAAGTAGGAGAAATGTGGTGGATGATTGCTTCCTAACTGGAGTTGTTAAGTGTACCTTGTGCTTCCACTTGGTCTCTTTATATAAAACTTACTCCACCGACGTGTTATTGTGGTGCAAATTCTAGCTTGGTGCCATTTTAGGATATTTTCTTGTGCTTATTGACGTCCATGGGGTGGGGATCTGATGTCTAATACCTATTAAACACCGGCGTTACGGTTTCTGATGTCTAATGACTTAAAAAATTGGCCTTTCATTTCTAATTTGGGTGCTTGTGTCATGGGTTTGACGTTTGATGTAGCCGTAGCTGACGATTATAAGGAATAAGAGATCTGGGGAATAGGTAGCTGACGTTAAATTTGCTATTTTATTTACAAAAATGTCATCGATCAGTTTTTTATGTTGGTTATTTGGTAATTAGACGTTGTACACTGTTGAATCTTTTGGCAAGCGTACCAATAGTCAACTGCAGTATAATGATTTGTAATTGAAAGTGTCGATCCCACGAGGAATGTAACATCCCTAAAATATAACATAAAACTATATACAGGTGACATCCATACAGTTATTACCAAATAGCCATAAAAGTTCAAACTTTACAATAAATCTATACTATTACAAAACTAGGAACATAACCGAGCGGTCATTTCAAAACTAGAACTATAACCGAACGGTTAATACAGAACCACTCAACTCTAGTATCGAATGGTCCTAATCTACACAGCAGGATCCTCGCCATCCAACGCCTGCTCCAACGAACTCCCTCTGCTCACACCCACAAGGTGATCATTGCAAATCAGAATTTCTGAATGGAAAGAATAACAAAAGAAGGGTAGGCTAGTGTAATTTAATTAATCATACAAATAAAGCAAATACATAATCTTATAACTGTTAAACACTCAAAGTTACGAAATCACCAACCACACAAGCATGCAATGACCGAACGCTTGACTTTGACCATCCGGATTGTATAAATTATCGAGTTCTAAGGATTTGTGCACTGGTGTGATGAAGTACAAGAAACTCCATCAGCCATAACACCATGTTAGTCTTACAAACGCCCTCTTGCCATACATGCATTTTGGACTCAGACCTCCTGCTATTCTCACCACATGACTCATCCCATTCTACTTGAGCATGGATGGTCATTTAGAATGTCAGGATAAATCCCAGCAAAACTCCGGCCATTTATTCAGTAAACCACCAAAAACAATCACCACCATTTCACCTCTCCTTGAGGATAATAGTAATACCTCTATCAAACATACTTTTACTTTAACACCATCAGGATCAAACATACTTTTACTTTAATAGTAATACCTCTATTAAAGACCAAACACTAATACAAATACAAACACTGCCCAAAATATTACCCACCTAAGCCGAACACCCTTTACCTTAGATCTAACACCTAATGCTTAGGTCAACACTGAAAATTTATAATAAATGTTAATCATCACTTATCACTACTAAGAGATCAAACAATAAAACAGTATGACCGATCGGTCATTAACTAATAAGAACCATAAGAATTCAAATGAAGTTAAAACCAAACACTCGAGTAAATCTGCAAGGTCAACTAATGACTCTTAGCGATCAACATAATTCCACAGAATACTACAACGTTATGTTCAACACCTATCCTTAACCAAAATACAATATTCTTACCAACTTCTATATTTTTTGAAACTTGTATTATACTTTCTTCCTTGTCCAAATATATTGACCCAAAATAGAAAAATCTATTCAAACTGATCTCTATACAGAAGATTTCAACCGTTCCCCAGGTTCCAGCTATA